TTCCCTTAGAGTATAATGTAAGTATGCATTTTCTTTTTTTTTTTTTCTTTGAAACTTGTGGGGTACAATTCAGGGTAGGGTATACAAATGTTCATTGTGCAGGTACCTTTGTTGATGAGGTGTGCCCCTCCCTCCCCTGGCAGTTTCCTTCAACTGCCAATCCCACCCTTCCCTCCCCTGGTAGTTTCCCTCAACTGCCAATCCCACCCTTCCCTCCCCTGGCAGTTTCCCACTACTGCCAATCCCTTTCTTATAGTATTATGATAATTGTTCAAGGTCTGCTGATGAGTGAGAACATATGGTAATCTGTTCTTTGTTTCTGTGATAGGTCACTGAATATGATAGACTCTAAATCCATCCAAGTTGATGCAAAGTCCATATGTTTGTCCTTCTTTATGGCTGCATAATATTTTATTGTGTATATGTACCACACTTTTTAAATCCAGTCCAGTTTTGACGGGCAGTATGGTTGGCTCCATGTTTTTGCTATTGTAAATAGAGCTGCAACAAACAAGCATCCTTTTCAATGAAAACTCTTTTTACTCCAGCCTGGGTGAGAGAGTGAGACTCTGACTCAAAAAATAAATGAAAATAAAAACTCTTTATAAAGGTCAAACAAATAAAAACAGTCATTATCAAAGTAGAAGCTCAACATAGAGCAAAGAAAAAAAATTTTCTCTAAGGTGAAAATACCTTGGTTTCCTTTAATTTCAAGATAAACAGCAATTCCCCACCAGAGTCATTTGGGAAATGCCCATGAGCACCCGTATCAAGGGAAGTGATGGCTTTGCCCACAGAGGAACTCAAGTTTATATGGAAAGAAGAGGTTGAGTAATGAGCCAAAACTTAGCTGACCTCCTAGGTTCATGAGGAAAGACAGCTCTGACTTAATTTTCTCAAGTGCACCAGGATAAAAGCAGGATTCCAGATGTCTAGCCCAGTTCTATGAATTCAGGAGAGGTGGACATGCCATAGTTTTTGTGGGCCGGCCTCCCAAAATAGGAGTGGACCCCTCAAGGCACTAATAGGTAAAGTTCATCTATTCCAATGGCATATGCTTGAGTTTTCCTGTTTTGAGTCTATTCTTTGCTAGACGAGGCCAACTGTACAGTTGCCTAATTTACTGTGTCACCTACTCTGTGTTAGTTTAGTGGCAAAATCAAACTATTTGTCTATGTGGTTGACCAGTTGTTCACCTGAACTGACCAGCACCTGGCATGAGTCAATTGTTCTCATCATCATGGTGTGTTGGCCAGGTGTGTTGGTTAGTTTTACATGAAAAAAGGAGACTGAGTAATGAGCCAAAAACATACCTGACCTCCTAGGCTCATGGGGAAAAAAACCACACAGATGCTATTCAGATAACTCCTGAGTTACCTCATGTCCTCCTCTGCTTTTTGTTGTTGTTAGTGGAATCACAAAATTTGTGACAACTCACTAAATATTTGTATGTTTATTTTGCTTTTTTTGCTTTGTGATAAACTCCTTATCTTTCTCCCAGATGTGTTTTATGTGTGTTTCCTGTGAGAATATAAATCTTCTCAATTAGGAAAAAAATCAAATTTTAACGGAATACTGAAAATTATCAAGTCCAAATAATTCTCTAGTGCTTTAGTCTCATTTAATTGTCTTCACACACTGTTCTTGCTAAACATCTCCAGTGAAGGGGAGGAGATTTCTTCCTAAAAAGTTCGTCTACTTGTAGACAACACTGGTTGTACTGGGCATAACTGGGAGGAAAAGAGGGAGTGGAGGAGAAAGAGAAAAAGAAAAAAGCACTACAATTTAGCACTTTCTCTGAGCTCAACCCCATGCCAACATGACTTATAGACATATTGCATAATTTGTTGGGCTTATGGCTCTAGAGTTCAAGCAACATATGTGAGTGGAGTTAACATAGGAGCACATTAGCGAGTCCATAGCTCTACCTTTTGCAATAATACTCTTTTTAAAATTTCCTCACTTCTGCTGAGATAGGGGAGAGACTGACAGTATGCTAGGGTGGGAAGGTCAGTATCATCGACCTCTCTTGAAAATTTCATCTGTATAGACCTGGAGACGGTAGAATTGTTCTTCCCTTATCAAGCCTGCCTTTGCTTACATATCTGTGTAGCTGAGCAGGAATTTGAGCCCAGCCTCTTTAGTTTTACAGTGTGCTCTACCGGGTTTCACAGTTTTTCTAGTCGGTTCTCGTCTACCTTTCACCTAGCTTTTCAATCTCCATCATGGGGCTCTGCCCTGCATCTAGATGATGAAGCAGTTCTGCAGCAGAAAAGTAATTGTTTGGAGAAAGGGAAATGGTAATCCCTTGAGCACATTCTCAAAGAGTTCTTATTTGGGGTAGCAGGTTGACCTGATTTATTTTTAAGATGATAAAGAAAGGACATAAGAGTCACAGCGTGAAGGCAAGTCCAGGAAGGTTGTCACCAAACAACAAAGCAGGCCTCGCTTTCCCTGAAGCTAAAACCAAGATAAAAGGCTGCCCTGTGGGACCTTTCTTTTTCCTGCCTCTGAGAGATGATACAAACTAGTGATTGCACACAAGCTCTGCAACAGGCAGTGTGAGTGGTTAGGCACGAGAGATCTAAAGCGAGCCTAAATTTCTTCCCTGCCATGTTTAGATGTTTAGATGTTCATGGGTAAGTTACTTAATAGCTCTGTGCCTCCATATTAAGTATGCTTCCATCTGTAAAGTGAGGATAATGCAAGCACCCACCACATAGGGTTGTTGTGATGACTAAATGAGTTCTGTATTCTCAACACTTTCAAACAGTGGCTGGGACAAAGAATGTCACCAACATGAGAGTCTGACTGTGTTCTGTCTGAACTGAAGCCCTCTCTCTGAGATCTTAGATCATCATTCGTACTTCACAAGGCCGGAGAGAAGTTTTCTCTTTACACCTTCCCCAAACGCCTCTCAGTGAGTTCAGGATCTGAATCACCAGTTGCTGGGCATACTCTGGGCACCAGGACTGCTGGGCAGCACAGAATCCAGGTTAGTTCTATAAGCCACTTGGAAAGCTGGAATGAGTGCTCCTCAGGATTGTTTCTAGGACACTGGATCAATTTTAAAGTGGGATCAGTGTATTGCCAAAGGCTGTTGGTATGTAAGAAACAGTAGGGACAGCTTAATTCTTCACAAGCACAGTGCAGGGTGCAGCCAAAGAGACCGAGATGTGTTGCCAATGCCACCTTCAAAGTAAGGGCAATTCCTTGGTAAATTAAGTAATGTCTGCAGACCCGAATAGTCACTGATTTCCCAGTCTTTTTATTTATGTGCTTTTTGTACATGCTAGGCACATGTTAAGTTCTTCTCTGATCCTGTATCTTGTTTTATAGATGCTAAACTGTGACTCAGAGAAGTTAAACAACTTGCTGAAAATGGTATGCACAAAGCAGAGTCCTGGCTTTGTCTAGGGCTCTCTGTCTAGTCATGGTAGCCACCTCATTATGACACCCACACAGTGTGTTCTGGGCCTGGAAGTGAGTTTTTCCATCTCACCTGCAGCCATCTGGTCCCTCCACAACTACCTTAAGAAGGTACAGATACAGTACAAGGGAGTTCAGAATGGTGAAGTGGGTTCAGCCCCAGGGCCTGCCTGAAATCATAGCAGGGTTTTCTTGGGGCGGGGGCGGTCTCTCTATGTGCCCTGAGCTCTGGGGTAGGGTGTATGGCTTTAACCAAGACGGTATTGAAGAGGAAACTTGGGCTTCCTAACTCATTCAAAAGAACACAAGGCAGGGACCAAAGTGAGTTCCAAACTTTACCTGTATGATTACCATTTGTATACCTAACACTGAATTGTACCCCACATTTTTAAAATAAAAAATTGGGAAAAAAAATAACCCAAGGGTGTCTTACACTCAATCGGTTGGTTGCACACAGTGTCTTAGGCTACTTGATTCTGAATCCTCTTTTCCCACTTACTTCAGCCCTAGGCAACATCTTTAAAAAAATTATAAACATGTATATATATTTAAAGTAGAGAGAGGGTCTCACTTTGTTGACCATGTTGGTCTCGAACTCCTGGCTTCAAGTGATCTTCCTGCCCTGGCTTCCCAAAGTGTTGGCATTACGGGCGTGAGAGAGATCTTCTTAATCTTTGTCTGTTTTTGTCTATTTAAAATTGTGTGAGAGAGTTTTCCTGCCCCTAGGTTACATGAGTATAGACAATGACCTCAGAGCTGAAGAATCTCAAACCCCCCACACACATGATTTTCTCTTGATAGTGCCATGGAAACAAGACCAGAAATAAGACACTTTCCTCCCAACTGACTAAGAAACTGAACCGAGAGGAATACATAATAGATGTGATGAGACGATTCCTCTGAAGATACACAGTGCTTAAGGTGGGCAGTGTCCTTTGTTTTGGATCCGTGGCTCCCTGAGAGGTCACAAGCCCTGCAGAAAGCTCTCCTCCTCCTCTCTGTCCTGCCTCCTTTTTAGATCTTCTTCCTTCCTTTCTGTAACTTCCTAATTTTCACAGTTCTTTTAGCAAGAGCATGGAGTAGGCAATTCTTACTCTCTTATCAAGGGAAGTGATAATCCCTTGAGCATGTTCTAAAGGGTCCTTATTTGAGGTAGAGGGTTGACCTGATTTATTTTTAAGATTGTAAAGAAAGGACATAAGAGTCACAGAGAGAAGGCAAGTCCAGGAAGGTCCTCCCTCCCTTTAGTATGATTCTTTTTCTTTCTTCTGTTTCCGCTTTCCCCAAAGCCTAGCATTGCTCCACATGAAGTGAAAATCCAGGATGAGAGATGAAGGTGATATTGAAGTCACAGGATCTTATTCTAAATTCTTTTCTTTCCCACTTTGGACCTTGAAACAAAAAGATGATCTCGCTCCACTCAAATTTAAAAAAACAAAAACAAAACCAAAACAAAAACAGGAAAAAAAACCTGAGTGGAAAATAAAAATCATTCACTGTCCATGTAAGCTAGAACATTCCACATCTTCATGTTTTATCACTGGATGTTCTGTTTCTAGGAAAGCTGAGGCATGATGAGCCCATCCTGGGAAAACCAAACAATGAGCGTGGAATTTGTACTTCGAGGATTCTCTTCCATCCAACAGCTAAATATTTCCCTCTTTATAATATTTTTAGTTTTCTACACCTTAACTCTTTCTGGAAACATCCTTATTGTCTTTCTAGTTTTGTTCAACCATCACCTCCACACCCCCATGTACTTCTTCCTGGTGAACTTGTCCTTTCTGGAGATCTGGTATACCTCCAACATTGTCCCCAAGATGTTACTGATTATCATAGCCAAACAGAGGACAATCTCCGTGGCTGGCTGCCTGGCACAGTTCTACTTCTTTGGGTCTCTGGCTGCTACAGAGTGTCTCTTGCTTGCTGTGATGTCCTATGATCGCTACCTGGCCATCTGCCAGCCTCTTCGCTACCCCATCCTCATGACTGACTCCCTCTGCATCAGGCTAGCAGCCAGCTCTTGGTTCTCCTGCTTCCTCCTCACAGCAATCACCATGGTCCTGCTGTGTAGACTAACCTTCTGTGGACTCAATGAAATTGATCACTTCTTTTGTGACTTCACGCCTCTGATCCATCTCTCCTGCACGGATACCTCACTTACGGAGACCATTGCCTTTGCCACCTCTTCTGCAGTGACTCTGGTCCCATTTCTCCTTATTATGGGCTCCTACTCCTGCATCCTCGTTGCTATCCTAAGAATCCCATCTGGCACAGGCCGGAGAAAAACCTTCTCCACATGCTCCTCCCACCTCACTGTGGTCTCAGTGTTTTATGGGACACTGATTGTCACTTACCTCGTACCCTCAGCCCACTCATCCCAACTCTTGCGCAAAGGGTTCTCTCTGCTCTACACCATCCTGACGCCCATGCTTAACCCCATCATCTATAGCCTGAGAAACAGAGACATCCATGAAGCTCTGAAGAAGTGCTTGAGTAAGAAGTCAGGCTTCTTCAGATAATACAAGGAAAAGAGCCGTATTTGTCTAAGGGTTGAGGAACTGAATGGAGTCATTTGCATTTCATATAAAAGGCAACTACTAAACCAGATGACCAGATGCCTCTGCTGAGTTCTGACAACCTCAGGTAAACTTGCTGCCTCAAGTTATGGTCTAAGCAGGTCATACTCTGCTTTATCATCTCCAGTAGACTTGGATTTTTGTATAAAATTCAGACCCAAAATGAACTTGTAAGGCATAGAAGTATTTACCAAGGACCTGCTATGTTCAAGGCAGTGTGCTGGGAGTGAGTGTTAAAATGATAGACAAAAACAGGCAGTCCCTGTTCCCACTGAAAACACAGTCTATAGTGGGTAAAAAAATTAATCAAATAACTAACATACACCTACATATACAGATATAAAATTACACTTGTGATTCAAAATTGAATGTAGTAGGAAGACTAGTACCCATGTATTAGAAGAGCCAAAATCCAAAAACACAAATGACACCAAATACCAATGAAGATGTGGGACCACAGGAGCTCTCATTCAATGCTGGCAGGAATGCAAAATGGTATAGCCTCTTTGGAAGACAATCTGGCAGTTTCTCATAAAACTAAACATGCTTTAACTATAGGATTCAATAATCATACTCATTGGTATTTACTCAAATTGTTGAAAACTTGTGTCCATGCCAAAGCCTACACATGAATATTTATAGCAGCCTTTATTGATGTATTTATTTATTTATAATTGCCAAAACTTGAAAGCAACCAAGATGTCCTTCAGTACGTGAATGGATAAATACACTTTGGTACATCCAGACAATGGAATATTATTCAGTGCTTAAAAGAAATGAACTATGAAGTCATGAAAAGACATGAAGGAAATTTAAATGCATAGTACTAAATGAAAGAAGCCAATCTGAAAAGGCTACATAATGTATGATTGCAACTACATGCCATTCTGGAAAAGTCAAAACAATGGAGGCAGTAAAAAGATCAGTAGTTGCCAGGGGTTAGGAGGGAGAGAAGGATGAATAAGCAGAGCACAGAGGAATTTTAGGGTAGTGAAACTACTCTGTTTGAAACCATAGGGATGGATTCATATCCAAATATTTGTTAAAAATCATGGAATGTACAACAGCAAGCATCAACCCTAGTTGTAGACTTTGGTGATAAAGATATCATCACTGTAGGTTCACTGCATGATTGTAGACTTTGGTGATAAAGATATCATCACTGTAGGTTCATTGATAGTAACAAATATATCACTCAGATGTGGATTGCTGACAATAGGGAAAGGAGTACGTGGGATGGGGTTGGGGGAGTAGCAGAAGAGATGTGGAAACTCTACTTTCTGTATAATTTTGTTGTGAGCCTAAAACTGCTCTAAAAATAAATCTATTCTAAAATAATAATTGTTATTATTTTAAATGTCAATTGTATATCAAGAATATAGAACTTCAGTCTCTTTCTCTGGAGTAGATTTGACCTAAGGAAAAGCATTTTCTAAACCTTTGCACTCCAAGACTTAGAAGTGGGAAAATAAAGACTTGCAGAAGTTTGGCTAGACAAAGGACCCATATCTCTCATGCTCCATCTTCGCTACTGCCATAGTGATAGTCTCAGTTGGGAGTTAGGTTTCATGCTTATTGAGTGCCACCTTCTCCTGCTAGGCCTTCTGCCAGGCTCTTGCCTGTACTTTCTCCTTCCTGTTGGCACATGCTCTTGGTAGTCAAAAGATAGGGTGTGGTGGGCGTGTGTTTGTTCTTAGATCTATGTGATTCTAAAGAGCTGAACTGACTTCAGAGTAAACAAAACTGAGGTCAGCATTGCCCATAGCTGCCACCTGCCTCCTTGTCTGGTCCCTACAAAGTATGAGGCGGGACCCAAATAAACCCAGATTGATTTATTAAAAAGTTATGTATTTATTCTTGCATGTTTACACATCAGCCACCTTCAAAATACTCTTCATTTGATGCAATACACCTATTGAGACATTTTCCTATTACTCAAAGTAGTTTTTGAACTCATGAATTTTGATGCCTTTTAGTGCTTCTGCCATTTTATTTTTTGTGTGTGTTTCACCTCTTCCACATGGGCAAAAAATTTCCTTTGAGAGCTTTTTTCATCCAGGAAACAAAAAAAACCTTGCTCGGGGTGAGACTAGATTAATAGGGAGGGTGGGGTATGGAGGTCACACTGTTTTTGGTCAAAACCTGCTGAATACTCAGGGCATTGTGGGCAGGTGCACTCATAAATCATCAATCATGAAACAGGCAAATGCACAGACAGAATCTCAAAAAAAAAAAAATTTCACTGAAGGTAAACACAGCCTCTCACAACAATGCTAGCTGGTTCACTGATGCCAATGGATTCCTAGAACCCTTACCTATCAAATGAAGCCTACACTACAAGAGACCTGCTCTCCAAAAAATAATACCATTTTTTGAGGTCTCCTTGTATGTTCCCCCGGTGCTGAGAACAGGACTATCTCTTGCCTAAACTCATCTCTGTTTTTGAATTAAGCAAAGAGATTATGTTCACCATTCATCAGACTGGGAAATAGCACATATGAGACTGCACTGGGCCTCCGAAACATTCTCAGGCTTTGCTTTATAAAAAGAAAATTGCCCTCTTCTTCTTCCTCTTGTAAACTAGGAGAATATTGTTAAGACCATCTTAGGTACTTTCAGTAAAAGTGAAAGCTGTCAGTTTTAGATTATCCACAGGTGGCTCATTGGTAGCGAGCTTCAGTGTCAAATTAGGTTTGGGGGAAGATGGATGAGAGACCAGGTTTTTGCATTGTGGGCACTTTTGTTTGTTTCTATCTATATTTTTTCCCCCTAGGGTCTTATTCTGTCACTCAGGCTGGAGCGCAGTGACATGATCATGGCTCACTGCAGCCTCGACCTCTTGGGCTTAGGCAATCCTTCCATCTTAGCCTCCCAAGTAGCTGGAACTCCAGACACACACCACCACACCTGGCTAAATTTTTTTTTGTAGACATGAGACCTCACTATGTTGCCCAGGCTGGTCTCGAACTCCTGGGCTCAAGCTATTCTTCTGCCTTGGTCTTCCAAAGTGTTGGGATCACAGGCATGAGCCACCACTCTCGGCCATGGGCAAGTTTTAAATTCAAGCACTGCCTCTTTCTAGCATTGTGGCTTTGGGTAAGTTATCCAAAAAATAAGAAATCTTAGCCTTTCTTATTTCTAAATGAAGAAATGTCACACCTAGCTCATACTGCTGCCAAGTGAGGACATGTCCAGCACACTGTCTGATCCACAATAAGAGTTTGAAAAATGAAGAGTTCTTGTAACTCTTCTTCTAGATTCCACTTTCTTCACTCAATCCTAGCCACAGCTAAGATCTAGAAAGAATTCCATGTTGATATCATAAAGTGATAAAAGTTCAGAAATTTTAAGATCCAGAGAGAATGTATGGATTATCTAGTCTATATTCTTTCACAGATAGGGAAACAATCTTCTAGAGCAGGGGTCCCCAACGCCAGGCCACAGACCAATACTTGTACTGGCTAGGAACTGGGTCACACAGGAGGAGAGTGGTGAGTGATCAAAGCCTCATCTGTATTTACAGTTGCAATCTATTGTTCATATTGCCACCTGTGCTCTGCATTCTGTCAGATCAGTGGTGGCATTAGATTCTCATAGCAGTGTAAACCCTACTGTGAACTGCACATGTGAGGGATCTAGGTTGTGCGCTCCTTATGATAATCTAACGCTGATCTGAGGTGGAGCCGAGGTGGTGATGCTAGCGCTGGGACAGAACTATAAATATGGATTAGCAATAAGATTTGACTCCACAAAGCCCATAATAAATCAACTGCTTGCAGACTCAAATCAAAACCCTGTCAGTGAGTTGATGCACTTCAATTGTACAGTTGCATCTGGTGGCAGGCTTTAAGTCAGAATCTGACACTATCTTAGTCTGTACATGGCCCACCCATTATTTTATTTACCACTTCCATCTGTGCCTCTTTCCCTGCACTGTGCACTTGTCTCAGTCACAGTTTTGGTAAGCCCACAAGCTAACCCTAGCCACAATGAGTAAAACACAAACATCACTGGAGAGCTTCTTTGAAAAGGGAGAAAGAGCCAATATGAGACAGCGGAAGACTCTAATACTGCCAACAAAAAGAAAGTTGCACTTAAAAGAAAATACCAAGAGTCCTACTTAAATTATGGATTCATTGCAATGGGTGAATCACATTCTCCAAGCCTGCTTTGCATAATATGTGGCGATCAGCTATCCACTGAAGCCATGAAACTTTTAAAACTGCTTCGCCACATGGAGACCAAGCACCCTGCATGAAAAGACAAGCTTTTGGAGGTTTTCAAAAGAAAAACCGTGAATATGAAGAACAGAAGCAGTTATTGAAGGCCATCCCTTCATCAAATATGTCTGCACTGAGAGCATCATCCTTAGTGGCTAACCACATTGCTAAAGCTAAGGAGCCCTTTACTGTTGGTGAAGAGTGGATCCTGCCTGCTGCTAAGGACATTTGTCATGAACTTTTAGGAGAGACTGCATTCAAAAGGTGGCATGCGTTCCTCTTTTGGCTAGCAACGTAACTAGATGAATTGATGAATTAGTAGAGGATATTGAAGTACAACTCAGGATCAATAAGTCACTGTGGTACACAATCCAGGTTGATAAGTCTACTGATGTTGGCAACAATGTTTATTTTGTGTGTTATATTTTTCAGGAGGATGTGTATGAGGATAGCTGCAGAACTATTCAAGTTAGTGAATGATAACATATTAGGAAAATGAAATAGGTTACTTTGTGCAGCATATGCATGAACGAAGTGGCTGCTATGACTGGACAGCTTTCTGGTTTCACTACTCAAGTCAAAAGGTTGCATCTCAGTGTGAGTCTATGTACTGTGTCATCAACAGAGAAATGCTGGCTAGCTGAAAAATGTCACCTGAACTTAACAGCGTTTTGTAGGATGTGCTTAAAGTTATCAAGCACATAATAAAGTACATGCCCTTAA